AAAAAAAAAAAAAAATCATCTCGCTAAGCACTAAAAAAAATAAAAGCCTTTCAGTTCATTTTCCTCATTTATGAAAACTAAACAATGTTTATAACCAACATTAATATTTAAATGGAAGTAATTTGTGCGAGAAGAAACTTTTATAAAATTCTACCTTCTGTAGCAACTAGCAAGCTAGTTTGCTAGCTAACGTCAATCAACAGTACAACACTATTACGATGCTAATGTGCCATTTTTAGCCAACCTTAACCATTTTTGGCCTTTCTGTATGTGCAATAATGTGCACAAGTCCCTCATTTCTTTATAATTTGCTGGAAAAATGAGAAATCTTTGCTAAAACATATGTACAGTTCTCCAGACCTCTTGAAGGACATTCAAAGCTCTTCTTTGGATGTTGGCTAACAATCTCTGTTGAGACGATCACACACTGATTCAAAAATGTTGATGTTCTGGCTCTGGAGAGGCCACGACCAAAATCTGACTGCACTTCATGCATTCATAATTCCATCAGTTTTGATAAGATCTCAAACACCACTGGCTGAAATGCAGACTCAAACCATGACAGAGCCTCCACCATGTTTTACAGACAGCTGTAGACACTCACTGTTATACCTCGGTCCTGACCTTTGTACATAAAGATGACGATTTAAACAAAAAAAAAAAATAAAAAAAAAAATGGATTAATAACTCCATAAGACCTGTTGCAGATGACCTTCAGTCCAGTTCTTGTGCATTTTGCCCCTTTCTCCCAGTTTCCTTTCCCTAAAAATGGCTTGATGCAAACACTGACACAATTTTAGCAAATAGTATATGCATCAACTGAAAGGACAGATGTAGCTCTAAACTGCATTTTTACTCATTTCTTCAGGCCATACTTTTCAGATATTGTCCTTGTTTTAGGTCAGCCACTTCTTTTATTTTCCACCTGTCTTTGAGTTTCTGGCTAATAGCCCTTTTGAAATCCCCTTGTTGGTGTAAAAATCCTGTTTTATGCCTTTCAAGCTGTGTTATCTTTGGCTTTTTTGTAGATTCAAATAAAGAAGTGAGAACAATTTATATGTTTTGTAAAAAGTAAGGCACTTGTAACAAAGTTCCTAAAGATACTTTGCAAAGTTGTTGGGTATTTGTCGATGACACCCTCGAGTTAGGTGCCTTTTTATCAAAGACAAACTTTAAAAAAAAAAAAAAAAAAGTTATACCAAAGTCTGACTTTTGGAAACAAGATATAAAGAAATGAGTGGTGGTTTAAGACTTCTGTATCAAGTATCCAGTGAAGTGTCCCAGTAAACACACCAATCTATATTGATCCACCACACATACACATATTTGCTGGTTTCTCACCTTTCCATCTGCTCCCAACTCCACTCCCTCCAGCCCAATCACCATCTCCCTGGCGCCTCCTGAAGGATGCCGCTGACGCCCTCCTTCCAGCTTTGCATCCCTAACGAGAACAAGACTTTTTTTTAAAAAAAAAAACAACACATCTTTCCTGATACAAAGTTTTCCTGCAGCTTCTTTAAACTCCTTTTCCTTAGCAATCTTTCAGAGGCCTGTTCTAGCTCACCTCTTCACTTACACACTCTCCATTTCACAGATTTGGGTCCTGCATCGATCTGAGCTCATCAGCTGGCCTAGTTTCTGTAACCGCTCGTGTCTTTGGGTGCATCTCGGGGCAATCAGTAATAAAGTGCGCTCTTGGGAGGCAGGACGGAGTAGAGTACGGTTTCGTTCTAGCAGGCAAGCGTCTTCAAACTCAGCTGCTGCCTGAAATGCCATACTGCTGTGGGAGATTTGTAGGTCAAAAGCTCTCCTGAAGCAGAAAACAGATGGCCAAAGAGGGAAGTGTGTCGGTGGAGCTTGACCGACACATGGCCCAAATCAAATATACCATAATTAAAGTAAACACTGTTTACTGCTAAGATTTAACTTGATGCGATATTTTTAGGTCGCTGTCAGTAAAAGCTAATTTAAATTGTGTACAGTGACAGAGAAGATTACATGCCTGCAGTCTGCCACAAAGAATAACCGATAACACTGATGGTAAGCTGAAGGCTAACTCTTTCCAGCGATTTGTGATTAAAAGGTTGGTAGAAAATTAAAATGCTCTAAGCAGGAGCTGATATTCATGTTCTCCCATTTTTCCTTGGGTTGAAATAAAGTCCACAGCTATTAAAATGTGGCCTGTTTGCTGACAGATAAATTTCCACCTGTGTTTGTGTTACATTAACTTTAGCCTTATCTCAATATTTGTACTGTTGCAACATTTCACAGCGGCGGCAGAAAGTACAGGCTCTACACCGTCGTGTTTTTCTGCGGCCCCCTTATCTTTCCTTTCCTTTGTCTTGCATTCTTTTTAAAATGTCGTTCATACACAAAGCGTTAACGACACGGCGGGTCCTCACATGACTATGCCAGTGTTTTGTTGACATGTGGGGCCAATCGGCTTTCATGAAAACAGCGTTATCTGGCAGACAGGCACGGCAGGACACGATGATGACAGATGCATCGTAGACACGGAGATCCCCAGGCAGTGGACCTCTTACAGAACAGTGAAAATCAAAGAAGAAAGGGGGGAAAAGAAGAGATGGGAAGCTTTCTAGGGAGAGCGCTTTTCTATGAAGCCATCCAGAAAAATAAAAAAGGTTTTGCTTCATTTGGTTGAGAATACAGAGAAATGAAAGGAAATGACAGGAAAAGCTGCTCAGCAGCATGCACGAATAGGAATCACTGGCGCCAAACATCTGTATGTTAGTATTGGTGAAATTCTTGCAAAGTGTTCGTCACGCATGCTTCGAAATTCAGCGTCAAGAAAGTAAAAATAACCACAGCTTAAACAACTTTGACCCCATTACAAATACTTCATAGTTCACACGAACAGTCGAGGGTGACTGCTTCCAATTATATTCCAAAGTCTTTTTTTTTTTTTTTTTTTAAACTTCAAATATCCCTGTGAGGAAATTCATCCCGCATTCGATCCATGTAACTTTTTCCACTCCGATGCCAGAAGTGTTCCTTAACGTGCCAGAGAAACATCGGAATCCAGCGCTGCTAAAGAGGAAACATGCAAAGTCTACACAGGAGTGTTTGAACTCAAAGAATTAGCCCATGAAAAGACAGTGATGACCCACAGCCTGAGGTTTAACCACCTGAAGCCTGCTGCATTCCACCTTCTTAGTTTACAAAGTCCGAGCTGGACTTTGAGCTGCAGATTTAACCATGTATTTAACTTCTGTATTGAAAATTTGCAAAATTACTCAAGATGCAAGGCATACCAGTCGGCTGAATGTACTCTGAAAATAAATAAATAATTTAAGTAACAAGTTGTCTAATAAAATATTTTTGAGTTTTGGCTGACCCAGCCAAAGTCGAGCTGGAAATGGGCGATTAGCGTGAAGGAGCAGTGAAACGTGCTTATCGGAGAGCCCCGGGTGGTTTATTAACCCTTGACCTTGCACTGATTGGCTGGCTTAGGAAATTCCCCGCTCTTCATTAAGCCGTGGTGTGTTGCTTTTCTTTCTGTGCATTGTTTCCTCTGGTGTTTATCTGTCAGTTTTGATTTTATCTTCTCCAAACCTTTTTTTTTTGGGGGGGGGGGGGGGGGGCGCGTCAGAAGTAAGGCCATACAACAGCTGAACTCCCCAACACAGGGCTCATGTTGCTTTAAAAGAAAAGCAGCAAAAATTATCTATAGATAAGATCTACGCCGCTAAGACATGTAAACCCTGGCAGTTAAAAAAGAAGTGGTTAATAACATGTTATAAGTGTGCAGACAATAGAAATCCTAGTCTGTCAGCACAGTGGAGAATTAAAATCAGTTGACTACACACCGAAAACATCTATTTCTAATAACCAGGTAAGGTTCATATTAAATGCTGAATAGCGAAGCCAGCAACAGCTGCAACAGACAAGAATGGGTTGACTTGAACAAAGAAGGATGAGTGCCCAAGAGCCACCACGGGAAAAGTATCACAAGCAACAAGCATTAGGCGACAATCTAAGTCTTAAAGTTCTTGTTAGATTACTTTAAAAAATAAAAAAAAATAAAAAAATTTTATTAACCTATTAAGATAAAAATGCATCCACCAAAACAAGAGGGATGAGGAAAACAAAGGGAAAGAGGAAGCACAGGTTGGAGGACGTTACGACGTTCGGCATGCCGTAGGATACATACCCCGCTTGGCTACAATCTCGATAGGGCAGGACAGAAAATACACTATAGAAGGATCTTCTGCCACTGATAAGGACTATCCTACAAAAACAAAAATGGCAAACAAGCTAATCAACATCTATCGGACAAGATGCACAGGTTACACTTGGTAATAGTTTGCAGTAACAGAATGAACTGAACATTCTTGGTGTGTTATTCTGAGTTTCTTGCAGTTTGGCACATACACTCAGTTTGTGTGCAACAGTGATGCATTTGTTACAAGACCTTATTTTTAGTGACTAAGGCATCCAATCAGAGCCCATTTCCCGATGACCTGAGGTCAACAGCACAGCGAGCAGAACGGCTCTGACTTTAACTACAACAACCTCATAATTCCAGCTTCCTAACTCGGGCTCGCAGACACGTGGTGAACCTTATTACTACAAATCAGCATCAGGAAACAAACTCCACACGAGGGTCTCAAAAAGCTGAGTCTTTCAACATCAGCTGAAAACTGGATAATAATATAAGAGGTGGTACACTGCAATGTTATCCAAATGTTGGATAAAATAAGTGAAGACTAACTCATAGAGCTACACTTTGAGACAATTGAAAATCACCAGAGCACGATTGTGCCACGCAAATCACCGATAAATAAAAGCTAACTGAACTCTCGTCTAAATCCAAACGAAGTGGCAGTGATAATAAGAGTCACCCCGTCAGTATTACACAGAAACGCTCCCTAGATACATTGACCTCAACTTCAATATCAGAACATTTCTGCCAAAATTTCTTTGCATTTAAAGATTTGCATGCTGCATTCATGCTACAGCACAGTCATCTTATAATTTAGTAGCGAGTGATTTGTGGCGTGATTACAGAATTTGTGACAGTGATCAAATAAAGATTGACATCAAAATTCATCAGATTCTTCTGCACGTGCAGGATTGGCAGTTGCATCCATCTATAAGCTGAAACTGTGGCCGGGGCCTGGCCTGCTTGTCTGCGATGTGGCTTGTAATGTGAGAAACATCCATACTGCAGTTCATTGACTGGGGCAGCCTCCATTATTCAGTGAGGACTTGTATCGACTGCGGGGAGGCGATGTTTGGCTTCATACCTTCCATTGCGCATATCGTGCTGCCTCATGTTCTTTACGAAGTGGACCTTCTTGAAGCTCTTTGGTCGGGGTGAACCTGATAGGGTTCGGCATCTGAAATGTAAAACAAACAAAAAACTTAGAAACAGACAGTTCCCCCCAAGTGGGACGCACGACACTGTGCTAAGTGACTCATGTTGAGACACAGAAATACACAGGAATGGTAAAAAGAAAGCAAACCTTTTTTTAGCTTTAAGGTTTTACATATTGGTACATTATACTTTTTTTTTTTTTTTTAAAATAAAATCATATAATCCTTACCAGTAATACTAGGGCTGTGCGATATGACCAAAATCTCATATCCCGATATAAGACATCTATCGTCCGATAACGATATAAATCACAAAAATGTAACATTTTCTGTAAATTCTGTGAATTTCGACTTGTGGGAAGTGTTTCCAGCTGCGCGTCATGTAGCTGGAGTCGAGGGTTTTAACCGATGCATGAAACGATACATTTTTAGACATAAGTTGTAAAGGCCGCCATTTTCTTTGTGAGCATTTATTACACGGCGTGCTGCGGGGAAAAGCCTGTTCTAACGTTTGAGTCTAAGGTTTATTTTTTTAGCACCTGGCGGCTCTTTTTTACTTCTCATCAGTAAATAATCTGCTCTGTCACGTGATTCAGTTTATTTTGAAAAGTCTCAACAGGATCTTGAGCTTTATTGTGAAAGGTTTATGTGGAACATAAATAAGCAGACACGATGGTTTTACCATCATTGTTGCAAACGACAACGCATAAACACAGGCGCTCTGTAGTGTAGTTATATTAAATATAAGAGAAAGAGAGAACTTTAAGAAATTAACATAGCCACTACAGTGACCATCAAAACGATGAAAAAAATATTGCCGTAAACAGTTTATTTTGCGACACCACGAAACAAACGATAGCATAAAATGAAACGATAGATGTTTTTATATCGTCATCCGATATATATCGTTATATCGAACAGCCCTAAGTAATACTGTGCAATACTGCAAAAATGTTGGTATCAAACCAGGTAAATACAGAGCCAGTGATGTCGATACCAACACTGACATAGATACTTTTAACCTACAAAAGCACCATATGTAGGCGATAGCAGTGTGTCATGGTTGCTGAGATGATCACCATCAATTTGCAAATTGTGAACATATTTTAATGGACGGCTAAATCTCTGTGATTTTTACTTTTTTTTTTTTTTCGTGTATTTGAAGCGAGGTTTTTGGAGACCAGAGATGTAAAAGTGTCCGTTTCCAAAAAAGCAAATTATTTAACTAAATTCAGTGAGCTACATTCTGAACTCAGAGGATAGAAACAAAGTATCGATCTTATCGTGCCATTATCAATCCAATACCAGCATACTGATACTAATCAATATTTGGATCGATCTGCCCACCTCTACATACCAGACCTTAAAATAAGCTACATACAGCCTCAGAAAACACATAGTCCTTGTTTAGTTAAGAAAAACTAAGCCAATATGCAGAAGCAGTGTGGGAAAAGCTAAGTGCCATAAGAATTAAGAGAGAAAGAAGCATCCAGGTTGTGTTAATCAAATACATTTGTTTTATTAATCATGAGTAAATGTGAGTAAATGCCTCTATAAAGGCAGTCATTTTGGCAGTTTGCATGTCTGGGGCATTGGGGTGTGTGTTAAATCAATGTCTTCTTGCAAAGCCTTTGGACAGACGAGACCAAAGCTGAGATGTTTGGCAGAGGGGTGATGATTTGAGTGGTTTTTGCAATCAGAGGATCTGGGTAACTTTCAACCACTGAGGTAAAAAAAAAAAAAAAGAATCAAGGCGTTGCAACGGCCCAGTCAAAGACCAGACCTCAACCTGATTAAAACGCTGTGGAGGGACCTGTGCATAAATGAATGCCTGCAGCGTTGAAATCGACTAAACTTCCTCTAAAATTTTGAAGAGACTGATGAAGTCATACAGAAAAATATTACATCAAGATATTGCTGCTAACGTTTCTACCTGATGCAGCTGTGCACGTAGTTTTTCACACTATGCTTCTGCATGTTGAATATGTCTTCATTAAATGAATGTGTGACGATTTTGTTTTTAAACACGTCCAAATATGTAAAAGCTTAATGAAAGAAGGTGTTTTTTTCCCCCCTTTCCACATGACTGTAGTAGCAGTGTGAACATGTAAAGCGTTTACCTGCGCAGAGGAGCATTTTCTTCAATGTCCTCTAGAGTTTCAAGCGACGAGCGCTGAGAGATGAGCCTTCGTCTGGGGGGGCACATAGAGGGGAAGTTACATGTTACGGGATATGAAGAAATATCAACATCACACCAACACTTCACAAGTTCAACAGTCAGCTTTAAGAGGAACTACCTTTTGAATAATTCTTTCCACTGGGTCAATGTTATATTTTTAGTCTGTACTCAAAAAGGTTGAATGTTTAACACCCAGGTTTAAAAACAATACGTGTGGTCAGCAGTGGCCTGGAACAAAGGTTAAACTGTGGTTTCCAATTTTAACTTTAATTTTAAGTTTCTATAAATTCTGAGATTAACTTGCAAACAGCGGTTTTGGATGGTTGACTTATAACTGTCATCAGCGAACGCCACTGTGCCCCTGTGTGGTCAATGATCGCCCCCCCCCACTCAGTCTTGCGTGGATCACAGTGAATTTTCCAGGATCAGAGCTGCTGAGAGGATAACGAGCTGGCTCTGCGAGCACTTTGTGTAACACATTTGGTCACAGATGGCCTTTATTTCACACTTAAGTTGCTCGACTCAACAGTCTAATTCTGCTGGATCGCTTTTATATGATCAGCTGCCAGTTTCAGAACAAACCCACATGTGACAGCTAAGAAGGTCTGAGCCGTGCCAAAATTAGGTTATAATTGCACGTTTAGCACCACAATAACAACACGTCCTTCAAAAAAAAAAGAAAAAAGTGTCTACATTTAAAGGAGTGGAAATTAACGTATTAGAGGTCAGATAACAAAAAGCTCACACATTTCCCCAGCGGGTTATCTGTCATGACGTAGAAGACAAATCTGTAACAGTGCCAGAGGGTAAATACTTACTACTGTATACAACGCAGGACTTTTTCCTGCAAAGAGAAATTTGCAAGCAGTCTGTGTTAATTGGGGTTTGGATCGCTTGAGCAAACTGTCTGAATTAGCATAAAAATGCAAACATTTCTGTCAAACAGAGGTTGCACACACTTTGACTTTACTGTACAAGGACAGATAATGGTTATGTGCATAGGCACGCTCCCCCCAAATGCCCATTCTGAGCCAGGAAAAAGCCTGTAATTGTGCAGCATCCAATTCACCTCATGAATCAAGACGTGCTATAGCGCTGCAAGATGCTGCAGCATCAAGGCAAACCGAAGACGTCCAACCGGACACACTTCCCACCCGCCGGAGCGTTTCAGCTGACCAAAGGGAGAGACGGTAGAGTGTAAAGTAAAGCGGCTGGTTAATAAGTGACAGAGCGTGCAGACAAATGAACAAAAAAAATAGCTCCGTCCTCGAGGATCCAACACGGGCTGAGTGAACAGTGTATACTAGAGGAGACTGGGTGAGCTGAGTGTTTACATGAGAAGCCAGGCCACTGGAGCAGACAAAAAAAGCTTAAGGCCTTTGTACTGACTAACCTTCTGCACTCAATATAATGGGCCTAATGATTATAAACTGAAGGGGAAAACATCAAGCCTTCATAAAAGGCATGAGCAGTAAAATCGGAGTCTAAATGATAAGAATGATCAGACCTGTGGGCAGCTGACACAAACTCTGTCTCCTGCTTGCGTGAGTTGAAAGGGCCATAATAAAAGGGTTTGGCCTGACCTCTCCGTGAGGGTCAGACAAGTGGTGTCATGTGATTTATGGCCAGTCTTACATCATCCTCCTTCAGTGATAACCCTGAGGGATGGACTGGCTGGGCGATTTGGGATCTATGAGTGCAGATACGGAGGAAAGTAAAGGCTTCTCTACTGAACATCGCTTCATTCATTAAACTACTTTATGCTGCATGAAGCTCTTAGAGCGATTCAAAACAGGTTGATCGCTTTATATGGAGAATTATCAATTAACAGTACAGTCCTCTTCAGCGTTGCAGAGCACTTTAGGCTTTTCCAGCTCCTTGTTTTGACATTATGGCTGACAAATTACCATTTTGGTTTGCTCACCATTTTTATCCTCTTTGTTTGCAGCTGCAGCATTTTAGCAACTCAGAAAACGCACACCAGACTCCAAAAGCCCTCCACTACTACTAGTGTATCCTGGTTGTGTAAATACGCCAGTGTTTTCCAGCAATAAGACCCATGTTGTTTTTAACAGCCTGCATGAAGGAAAAAAAATTTAAAAAGTCACAAAATGAATCTTTAAACAGGTTTTACTTGCTTTTCAAGTTTATCTGCATGTATTACTCACATGCTAATGAATCCACTGAAAAAGTTATTCTTTACTGTAACTGTTCTTCCACGTGGATGTAAAGAGAGGAGATAGAATCCACATTCCACCAAGACAATGTACAGGGAGTGCAGAATTATTAGGCAAATGAGTATTTTGTCCACATCATCCTCTTCATGCATGTTGTCTTACTCCAAGCTGTATAGGCTCGAAAGCCTACTACCAATTAAGCATATTAGGTGATGTGCATCTCTGTAATGAGAAGGGGTGTGGTCTAATGACATCAACACCCTATATCAGGTGTGCATAATTATTAGGCAACGTCCTTTCCTTTGGCAAAATGGGTCAAAAGAAGGACTTGACAGGCTCAGAAAAGTCTAAAATAGTGAGATATCTTGCAGAGGGATGCAGCAGTCTCAAAATTGCAAAGCTTCTGAAGCGTGATCATCGAACAATCAAGCGTTTCATTCAAAATAGTCAACAGGGTCGCAAGAAGCGTGTGGAAAAACCAAGGCGCAAAATAACTGCCCATGAACTGAGAAAAGTCAAGCGTGCAGCTGCCAAGATGCCACTTGCCACCAGTTTGGCCATATTTCAGAGCTGCAACATCACTGGAGTGCCCAAAAGCACAAGGTGTGCAATACTCAGAGACATGGCCAAGGTAAGAAAGGCTGAAAGACGACCACCACTGAACAAGACACACAAGCTGAAACGTCAAGACTGGGCCAAGAAATATCTCAAGACTGGTTTTTCTAAGGTTTTATGGACTGATGAAATGAGAGTGAGTCTTGATGGGCCAGATGGATGGGCCCGTGGCTGGATTGGTAAAGGGCAGAGAGCTCCAGTCCGACTCAGACGCCAGCAAGGTGGAGGTGGAGTACTGGTTTGGGCTGGTATCATCAAAGATGAGCTTGTGGGGCCTTTTCGGGTTGAGGATGGAGTCAAGCTCAACTCCCAGTCCTACTGCAGTTTCTGGAAGACACCTTCTTCAAGCAGTGGTACAGGAAGAAGTCTGCATCCTTCAAGAAAAACATGATTTTCATGCAGGACAATGCTCCATCACACGCGTCCAAGTACTCCACAGCGTGGCTGGCAAGAAAGGGTATAAAAGAAGAAAAACTAATGACATGGCCTCCTTGTTCACCTGATCTGAACCCCATTGAGAACCTGTGGTCCATCATCAAATGTGAGATTTACAAGGAGGGAAAACAGTACACCTCTCTGAACAGTGTCTGGGAGGCTGTGGTTGCTGCTGCACGCAATGTTGATGGTGAACAGATCAAAACACTGACAGAATCCATGGATGGCAGGCTTTTGAGTGTCCTTGCAAAGAAAGGTGGCTATATTGGTCGCTGATTTGTTTTTGTTTTGTTTTTGAATGTCAGAAATGTATATTTGTGAATGTGGAGATGTTATATTGGTTTCACTGGTAAAAATAAATAATTGAAATGGGTATATATTTGTTTTTTGTTAAGTTGCCTAATAATTATGCACAGTAATAGTCACCTGCACACACAGATATCCCCCTAAAATAGCTAAAACTAAAAACAAACTAAAAACTACTTCCAAAAACATTCAGCTTTGATATTAATGAGTTTTTTGGGTTCATTGAGAACATGGTTGTTGTTCAATAATAAAATTATTCCTCAAAAATACAACTTGCCTAATAATTCTGCACTCCCTGTATATTGGAGCTAAAGCTAATTTAATACTGGGACGGATAGAGTTGGTTTCTTTGTTAGATAAATCAGGCAAGCTTTCAAACTTACATTCTTGGCAGTCTCTCTTTATGACCATGTGGTGCTGCAGTGAATGAATTGCATTAGAAGCCCACAACTCTGCAAGTTACCTGCTTCATTTCATTATCTTGAAAGTTTCTGAGCTACATTTCTTTCCAAATTCTATCAATCAAGTTACCAACCGCTCCATATGCATGTAGGACTATAACAGGAAGAACCCCCCCACCCCCCTTAAAACTCTGCAAAGAGTGTGCTAAATGAGAAATAATGTCTCTACATGAACATCAGCAGCAGCACGTGCTTTTAATGCAAAAGATGTTTTCCAAGCTGGTGCAAATCCTGGAAACAATAACACGGGACAGGCCACTCATTCACTTCAGACCCTGCTAGGGAGGGTTAGAGCAATCCGTTTCCATCCAGTCTGGCATTAACTAGGCCCAGTGAGAAGGGTCAGACAAGCGTCCGTGTAAATCAACAGCAGAGTCTCTGAAAGCAACTCCTGCCACTGTTGCCTGGGAAGTGATTTTATTTAAACACCTTTTCTTGAATGAAGTCAGACACAGTGTAAAATTATTTTCACTACAAATGCACACCATGCTCCTGCAATATAAGAAAGAAATGTTTTTGAATGCTATTGACAATCCTGCTAAGCAATGAAGCCATAAAACTCAAGTTGACTGTTTAGATGTGGAGATTAAACGGTTTCACGCGTACGACCTGTTGGCAGCTTGCCACAGGACACAGTCTTCCATTTTCCTGCAGAGTCGCTGAGTGAAAAATACATGTAATGTTGTGGGCTTATTCACACAAATATAGTCAGGAAAAAGGGAAATGTGATTACTGTGATAAAAAAAAAAAAAAAAAAAAAATAGCACTCTGGGGAGTTCAGCCCGTCTGGTCCGGAAAAGTTCAAAAGTATAATGAGTACAAACGGGATGTAGCAACAAACGCAAGGAATGAACGGGCAAAAAGGAAACAAGAGAAAAAAAATAATAATACAATAATTACATCAAAATAACTTTCAAAACACGTTTCACACACAGGCTGATCCTGGTTAATTTCGGGGGCTTTTCTTAGCTTTCCTTTTATCCACGACTCAGACGCCGAAAGATTCAGGGAAGGAAAATGAGGCATTCTTATATAATACTGAGATTATGCCAACCATGACCTCAGCGAACAGCAATCAGCCCCATAACCAGAAGTATGTGACCCGAACACACAAGACTCCAGAGAGCCATTACGGTGGCTTGTGCTGCTTGTTTTCCAGCCACAGTTTTGCTTCCACATGCAAAAAGGCCTGTTAAAATACTTTAAAGTACGCGTTTCTGGGTAATCTAATAGTGATGGGAATATAACCCACGCAGGACGTGATAAGACTCAACCTGCCTGTGTTTTACAGGGGAAACAATATAATGAACATTGCTCTACACCTCAGGCAGACAGCACCAGATGGTACTCACTATTATATATTTAAAGCACAGCTCTTGGCTGATTCTTGATGGATGAACGCTGAGGAGTGGAATATGAAATTAGCTATCATTTCCACGCATTCGATTCTGATGAGGATATTGTCTGAAGCAGCTTTGGGCTCAGAAAGTCTATTTTGGCGGCACATCAGAGGCTCTTCGGCTTCCTCAACGAAAGCAGGATTGAAGGCCAAAAAGTCTGAGGGGAGAGTGTGTCTCCGATTCCCCTGGGAGAGGAAGTGGAGGACAGAAAATACAGAGCTGAGAGCCAGAGCTGCTCCTCAGAAAGCCCGGGCATCCTGCCTCTCCCGGCGAGGGACCTCTGTACACGTTTCCACCAGCTGCCCTCAGAAAACAGACCAGGCACTGTGCAGAGCGCTCGTCTGTCCGCACACTGGTGGAATATGGCCGCGCTCAATCAGCAGGTTGCATATTTCTCGACATCAGAATTCATTTTATGTGGGCGTCCTTCGAGCGGATATCAAAAACAGGGGGTAAAGTCAGGCTTTAACAAATTCTGACTGTATTTGCAAAGCAGAATAAGAAGCATCAAATCCATTTTCTTAACCGCTTATTCAGCTGAGGATCTTTGGGGGATGGAGTCTCTCCCAGCAGAGGCGGGGTAAAAAACAAACCGGTCGCTGGTACATCACATGGCAAAGCAGAAACTGGATCCAACATGTGCAACACTGTGGCTGGAACTCAGTATTTCTCGGGTGCTGAGCTTATTAGCACAAAATATGAAAAGCTGGCAGGTTTGTACAAGCTGACTTCCAAGTATTTAAAACCAGCATTTAAAAGCAAAAGCTTATCGTAATCTTTAAGATGTGTAATGATTAACATTTGAAAAGTTTGGCTTCTAATGATCTGCAGCCTGACCAATACTGGATACCAATGTTTTAAAGGTGAAAAAAATAAAAATATGATATCAACAATGAATGTCACAAATCAATCTGCAGCTTACTGTGAAGACGCTGCTTCACTACTAGGGATACAGCATAGTATGGCGCTATTATGCATAGCGATATTGTGTGTGTAAATACTCTGGTGATGCTACTATACTTTAAGAAGAGGGCCAATCTCCTGCAATATATTAAATCAGCTAGCTTAGTGAAAAAAGCTAAAAATAGCAACAATATTGTATTGAGAGTGAAATATGGGATGATTCCCCTTTCTACTGATTGATGAGCTCTGATGCTACTCTGCTATCTGTGCTACAGACAGCATAGAGTAAACAGGAGCTGAAGCCCTCTGCTGGACAAACTATGTGATGACACCCTGATCAACTTAACAAAAAAACACACAGACCACAGGTAAGTTTTCATACTAGTGAATACTGCACAACATATGAACCAATACCACTTCTTTTTTATTATTACAGCAACTCTCATTAGTAGATACGTTGTTTGGTTCAATAATGCTGCCTCTTGTAAGCTACACAAGTTAAAATGTGTTAGTGATGTAATGATGTCAGTCATGCATTTTTTTCCCCCCCACTATTTAAATATATAGCAAAAAAGAAAAGTAGAGAATAAGACATTCCAAACAAGTTGATTTGACAAATCAATTTCAGTGCGGTAACTAGGCTCATGAGCGTTTCCCTGTGAAGCAGAACTTCCTGAGAAGTCTGGCACGGCCTTCAGCAGGAGGCGAGGATTTGGATAAAAGACGAGGGGGCTCTGAACAGAGAAGATCTGACGGCAGGTTCTGACAGTGAGAGAACCACAAGATGATCCGCACTGACAGTCGTCCCTCTTCGAGGTGGAGACCTCCAAACTCTCCCCCTTGTGTGAAAATAAAGTAGACAAAGAAGGCAAATAAAAAGACACTCGTGTGAAACAACAAGCCCCTGTTGCATGCGGAGCTGGACAGCAGTGCAGAGTTACAGGATGTTTGCGTCACACAGAAATGAAGTAGACAGCAGGTGTGTGCCAAGTTTTGTCAAGACACTCACTAAAAATAAGCTGAGGACAATTTGACAAAGAGCCGAAGAACGTTTATGTAAGAAAGACAAACAGAGACTGAATAAGATGCTGGATTTTCTCCTCGGGGGGGAAACGAGGGTGCACAGCTCCATGGTTGGCTGGACTTGTGATCAAAACTATCTGCCCCCCATCCCCTGTGCATATCAGTGAGTCATAAGCCTGCAGGCACCTGCATGGAGTAAAGCATACAGCTGAACTTTTTCCTCATGCTGTGTTGGAAAGACTGATTTCTCAGAAGTGCAAGTATATTTTGAAAACAGCTGATCATAAGAAACCTGCAAGAAAATTGCCAAGAGTCCATTTATTTGGACGCCCCTCCGTTTTTGTCACACAACAATGAGAAACTACTAAATCAGGGACGCTTAACTTAAGAAAAATAATCTCCTTCATATTTTCAAGACCCATGCAGTGGGGCTGGTGCCCCAAAAAGTGATTTCCAGTGTTTCTACGTGTTCTTATGTCTAACACCTCTGTTTATTATTGATAAGCAGTCTGCAGTCAACAGGATTTCTGAAGGGGTTATATATGAGATAAAGAATTGACCTGTTTTGCAAGCATCTTTATGACTCTGCGTTATTGAACATAACCTGTGTTGTACCTTACGATGAATCCAGTGCTTTTTGATAGCTTAAAATATCTTTATATAACTGTTACATGACATTTGTTGCAACTTCTACTGCATCTCTTTTGAAAAAGACATTCTTAGTGTCGTTGATTGTTTTCCATTCATAAATAAAAGGATGTATAAAAGTCACTTTGCAAGAAAGTGACAGCAGCTTCAACCCCCTAACAGAAATGTTCTTTCTGGCCTAAAATTGCTCAATGTCATTGACGAGAGATAAGTTTGACAAATGTTTCAAAGATCATGGGCCAACAAGTCATTTACAACACCGAATTGGAGTCCTTGCCTGGCTGAATATGGCCCCTGGGGCTTATGTTTGACACCCCATTTCTAAATCATAACATAATAAATAACAACTGATGTAGGAAAGTCTGGAAAGCTAATCATCCTTAACATTTCCTTAAGAACTTGCTGGAACACAACATACCCAATAAAACTGATTTTGGAAAGTGCCATGGTGCTTTAGAAATACTAACAGATATGCAACATACAGTGAGTGTGCAAACACTTTGCAACTTGTTCTCTAATGTGTGCCTTTTTCTTATTTTGTATATACAAGTCTCTTGATTGTGTATATATTCCTGCTGCCTACTATTAATATTTCATTCCTGCACAGTTGCTGTAGAGCACCCACAATCTCGTTGTACACGTACAGTGCCAATAAAGGGCTATTCTATTCTGCTGGCGAGATTTCAGAAGTGAAAAAGAAAGGTTTGCCTGCGAGATGCACTTCGTGTGCAGTTTAATGAGCGGGCTATGGCGATCCTGCAGTGCAGAAGTGAACTTTGGTCGTTGTGCGCTCAGACAGTGAAGTAAAACCGTTGTGTACACAGTTACCTTGACCTCTGCTGCTCTATCTGTCCGCCCTCCGGGCAGTAGTTCTGGGAGACTTGCCTGGAGTAGGTCGCAGGTAGGATTCCCTGAGTGTACGTCTGCAGCCTCCCTCTAGTCGAGGCTGGGACCGCGGAGAAAGGCGAGCTGAACGTCGAGGGCACAAAAGCGTCGCCCTCCGCGTCTGTACCGACGGGGGGAGCAGTGGGACCCGTCCCAAAACTGGCCCTGCTGCTGGCGTGGAGAGCCTGGTTTGCTAAAGCGAGCGCCTGGGTGGCTGTGGTGGTGGCCGCCGCCGCTGCAGCCGCCGCGGCCGCCGCAGCAGCAGCGGCTCCGTACGCCGAGGGCTCCGTAGAAACCAGGCTCTGTCTAGTCCGAGCTTCCAGCGGGGTTTCCCCTTCGCTCTGACTACCCGCATCGTCCTGCACGGGCCGTCCATCCAGAGAAATGTTGCTGAGAAAGGACAGCGCCGCTTGCCTCCTCCTCGGGTCGATGCGTTTCCGCGTATGCTCGAGACTGGAGTGCTTTATCTGAAGCGTGGATGTGTTGCTGCTCGTGGCAGCCGCCATGGTCCACTTCCAGGTGTCCGAGTCCCACCCTCAGCAGCGGTCTCACCTCGCGGGCATGAGTGCTGATGGGATGGTCGTGCTTGTGTTGGCGAACGGTGGTGCCCGTCTTTTTAAGTACACGCGTTAAACTGGGTGAAAACAGCGAGGTCACGTGTGCGCAGTATTGTGGCAGCACAGGGAAAATTTGGACCAATGAGCTGTCGGGAATACATGTGTTTTTTTTTTCTTTTTCCTGACTGCTGAAGCCTCCACTTCTCTGATAGTGCGTGCTAAAATTACATAAACTCCGAGATGTTCGTAACATCTTCAATAAACTTTTTCTACCTGCTGTATTGTTTTTGCAGCCTTCACACTCCTGCAGGGTGAAAACTTTTTTTTTTATCCTTCTTTGTGCATTTCTAATTTTATTCATACATGTAGAAACTGGACTTTCTAAATGTGCAGACATGTGTTATGTGCGGGGATCGGTGTGCGCTGATAGAATGGGGGCCTTGCTCTGTTTGTTTTGATAAAATCCATCGGTTTCGTGCACCGTATGAGTCAGCATATCTGAAGCGATAGCGCCATCTGTCCGCTTGTCATGTACTGGTTATGCTTTTTTTTGGCCATAACCCAATTAAATATGCCATCTAGTGGAGTTTTTTGACGGGTGCTTGCAGCAACCAGCATATTTTAGTCTAGAGCTAAAAAGGGAAATTTGGAGCATGTTCAGTGTTGGGCCTAATGGTTGATACCCCTGTACTACATAGTTAGCAAATCAATTATAACGAATAGAAAACACACATTAACAATAATAATAATAATAATGGTTGTAACAGTGATGATAAAAAATTAAATATGACAGGAAGACATAAAAAGGGGTATCTTGTCCCATGCCTTGTAGTCTACTACATCTACACTATGTTTCCAAAAGTATTCACTCACCCACCCAAATCATTTAATTCAGGTGTTCCAATTACTATCATGAGTGAATAAAACCAAGCACCTAGGTGTGCAGACTGCTTCTACAAACATTGTAGGAAACAGTTTGGGGATGACCCCTTCCTGTTCCAACATGACCACACACCAGTGCATAAAGCAAGGTCCATGAAGATGTGGCCAGAACTTGACTGGCCTGCACAGAATCCTGACCTCGACCCATCAGAACACCTTTGGGATGAATTAGAGCGGACACTGCAAGCCAGGCCTTCCCATCCAACATCACCTTACAAATGTGCTTCGGAAAGAATGGTCCAAAACTCGCTTAAACACACTCGTAAAGCTTGTGAATAGATGTCCTCGAAGAGTTGAAGCTGTTACAGCTTCGGAGTGGGCTGGCATCATATTAAACTCTATGGATAAGGAATGGGATATTAGTTAAGTTCATGTGTTTGTGAAGGCAGAAGAGAAAATACCTTTGGTATTATTCACCATAGTTCTTCTCTTCTAGAAGCCCTTTTCTCAGGCCTGAAGGTAGATACTATAAAAAAGTGACTAGACCCTCAAAAACAGCTCATTTCCTTTTATAGTTGCATGTAGTTTTTCATGTGGATAAATTAAAAATTCCCCGGTACCAAATGCTAACACTTGGCAGAGAAGCTTTGATTCAGTTGTGTAAAAACCAACTTTCTGCCAATTAAAAGAAGCTTCTCCAGATGTCTGTAATGTGCTGTGGGTAGATGCAACTCTCTAGAGGGCAGGCCTAAGAGTGAAACACCAAGATCCTTTTTTATTATTTGTACTCAATTAAATTCCTTAGAAATAAATGTTCAGAACCTGGAAATCAATTTACACTCCCAGAAGTAGTGAAAATATGTTCCCCTATCAACAAGGCGTTTCTAAACATATTAGTTTTCTTTAGAAAGTGTAAATTATTTCTATTTGCACACAATAACAGAATTATTTCAGAACAATGAAAAATTACCAGGGTCAACATTATTAGCCACCTAAAAAACTGACCTCTTTATGGAGCCATAGCACAAACCACTGTTGTGCAACGGTGTGCTTTAACATTGTTATGGTCAAAGCTTGTAAAATCCAGTTAAAAGTTTGCACACAATATAGAAGGATTTGAGCTTGAGAAAGCATCATGCACAAAAGAAATCGGTTTAGACTTGAGTAGAGTAGTTGATATACAAAGTTATCACAGCATTTCCTGCGTCATGAACTAGAGTGAGAAGCATCATCGAGAAATTCAAAGAGAGCCACACAGTGCAGCACAAGCCTGTCAGAGGCAGGAAGTGAAAGATTTCGAAGACTCTGGAAAGAAAATTGAGGTATGCTAAAAACAACCTGAGGAAAGATTACTCATACTGGAAGCTCGTTCTTTGGTCAGAGCTTTGGTTTGGCCACAGAGATGCACTCAGAAAAAAAGACATTGAGTGGTTGTTACTTTTACAAGAGTCTAACTTGTAATTTGAACAAAAAAATCGAATGTTTCTATGGTGAATGTAATTAAATCTTTTATGATCTGCATGAAATTTAACAACTTAATTTGTTCTTGTGGAGATGACATGATGCAATAGTGGTTAGTTGCCTGGACTCGAGAAATTCACAAGATGACATGAGATTTCAAACCCCAGGAAATCACTGGGGTTATAAGAGGCAGAAAAGCACATGCACACTTGTCTGCTATTAGTATTTATTATGGTTTAACCTGTCAAAAACAAAAATCTAAAGAAAATTCTGTAGCAAGCTCTGTCGTCATCGCTTTCCTACTGTTTTTAAAGTATGGATTGACAGCTTGGTGGTGCACTTTCTGTGTGGAGTTTGCATGTTCTCTGCATGTCTGCCTGGGTTCTCTCCTGGTACTACGACTTCCTCCCACAGTCCAAAGACATGCAGTTAGTGAGGTTAGGTTAATTGGTAACTCTAAATCACCCATAAGTGTGAATGTGAGTGCAAATGGTTGTCTGTCTCTCTGTGTTAGCCCTGCAATAGACTGGGAACTTGTCCAGGGTGTACCACACCTCTCACCTTATGACATCTGGGAGAGTGTCCAGTCCACCCCGTAAGATGGATGGAGTAACCAGTGGAGTAACACTGGAACTGGGAATCTTGTCAAGCCCCCAAAAGTTGATTCTGTTCATGTGGATGTAGCGTTTTCAGTGGGAGAAACATTTCGTCACTCATCCAAGTGACTTCTTCAGTCTCAGCCGACTGCAGGTTTCCCCAATCTTATAAACAGGGAGGAACGCTGGTTTGAGCGGGGAGTCAAGGAGGCCATTTACCTGAAAAGGGAAAGACCATCAGCCTAAGGGTACATCTTTTGCCATTTTGCAGTGCTGTGATTGCAGCCATTCCCCAACTCTCTGTGAATGGTACTCATGGCCATTGATCAGTGGGCTCTGATCAGTGGTTGTTGATCAGCGGTCATGAGAATCTGCATATTAATCATCAAGGAACTGACCTTCCAGCCCATTGCTCCTTCAGTGGGCTGGTTTCTGTCATTATGCAAATGTACTGTTTATAAGATTGGGGTGACGAAATGTTTCTCCCACTGAAAATGCCACATCCAGATGAACAGAATCAACCTTTAGGGATTTACTTACCTGGATGATTGAGTATGCACCAAAATCTTGTCAAGGCAGAAGGAGTCATGAAGAAACAGGGAAGTGAAGATTTTGAAAGAAAACCTCCAGCAGTCAGCAGCAAGACTGGCTTGAAAGACATTTGCTTTGTCTTTCAATGCGACAGTGACTCAAAAGATACATCATTCCTGGTGAAGAACTACCTCAAGGATCCAAAATGAATGTTATTGACTGGACGTAGGTAGCACAACTTGACCGGGAAAAAAAACAGTATTCACAAAGAACTATTGGCGAAAACTTTGCATATCTCATTCAAAGTGTTCACTGTGTTCTTAAAAACTGAGGAAACTGGACAAGATGAGGACAGAAACAAATGAACAGTTCTTGAAAATCATGTTCTTAAGAAACAGGAAAAAATTTGTAAAGTCCTGACAGAATATATATCTGACCCTTCAGTTGTTTGCTGAAGCCTCATCAGAAATGGTCTCAAAGGAAGGATAGCTGTCAAGAAGCCATTCTTAAGGGGAACAGGGCAAGAAGCTGTAATATGTCAGATTAAACAATAGCTGGAGTAAAAATCAATGGCAACAGGTTTTATAGAGTCATGAATTCAACACACACTGATGACAATTTACCACCAAAATGAAACCGATTTAAACAGTGTGTACGGAAGACGTCGGCAGAGAGGTACAGAAGTGAGTGTCTACTGCCAGCTGTAAATCAATGTGGAGGCTCTGTCATGGTTCAGGCAGTGCTGTTGGGGATGTTGCCAAAATGTATAAAATCATGAACGCAGAAAAGTGCCATCAGATTTCGAACCACCTTACAATATCATCTGGAAAGCAAATGGTTAATTTTCTTCTAACATGGTAATAATCCCAAACACACTGCCAGTGTGGTAAATGCATACCTGGATAGAAAACCATGCAGTGCAACACTATCAGTCATGGACGGGGCTCCCCACAGCCCGGAGATCAACATTACTGAGGATCATCTTGACAGGAAATAGAACAAAAGAAAGTAACCACAGTTTGGTTTATTTTGATAAATGCATTCAAAAGAATTTGAAAAACAGTCTAATAAATTATATCTGCATCTATCTAGTTTTATAATTGTCATTCTTGGCGAATGAAAGCTTTCATTTAGGTCAGTTCAGGAGTTTAAACCATACTTGACTACCTGATGTCAAAGAAGCGATTAACATGATTTTCTTTTACACAGTAGGTAAACATAGGTGTAACCGATAACTTTAACAAAGACTCAAGAACCTCTGAAAGGCTTGACAGTGTGACAACAAGCCATATCATCTCACTGAAGCCAAAATAACCGACTTTCGTTTAGCCATCAATCCCTTTATTTGCTCGTTTATTTGCACCTGTTCCTACACTGTGACCTCTGTGACGTCTGTTTAACAATGTGTGCAACTTGCGAGAAAATACACACTTGAAGCCAAAATGTTAAATTATCATTATGGTAACGGAAAGAAAACAAGAAAATAATACAGTCTGTGCTAAAGAAGAAAACCGGTTAAATCAACTCAGACCAGATGTTATAAAAAAGACAAAATGGGCCTACTGGTCGTTCTGCTCTTAAAAGATTGCAAGTAGCATAACGTTTTGTTACCACTAGAGGTCTCTCTGGCACTGTGTTGCATGTTTCCGACTG